TGCTCTCCGTCACGTTATCTGTGTCACTGATGAAGGTGTTAAACACAATTGGCTTGTAATCAGCTGTGAGTTAAGACTTTGATCCTTTAACCACAACCTTTTGAACCTGATGGTCCAGGCAGTTTTTCACATACTTTATACGCACTATGACTAGTTGGTGTCTTCCTAGATAGACTGCAAGCATATTAAGGGAGACTGTGTTAAAAGCCCTGCTGAAGCAAAAGGAAAATTTTGTTTTCCCCAAAGCTAGTCATTCTGTCCTAGAAGGCAATCAGATTGGCCAGTCATGATTTGCTCCTGCTAAATCCATGGTAACTGTTCCCAGTCACCTTTTTTTCATTAAGCTGAAAATTATTTCCATGAGGACTTGCTTTGAGATCTTCTCTGGGACTGAAATGAATCTGACAGACTGTTGTGCTTGGGTTGTCCTGCTTTCCCGTTTTGAGGATGTGTGTAACTTTTGCCTCCTCCAGTTCATGTGACTTGTCAAAGGTGAGAGAGAGCAGCCTTACAGTGATCTTGGCCTCCGCCTTCTACATGTACAGATGAATCCTGTCTTGTCTCATCTACTTGTATGTGTCTAATCTATATAAATATCCTTAACTCAGTCACCTTTTACTATTGAGAGCAGTTTGAAAAAGAGAAAGTACTAGGCAGAGAGACAGGGGGTGCCTGAGAGCAGAGCTTGCCAGTGAAGACTAAGGCAAGAAAGATACCAAGCACTTCAGTAGTTCCTTTGTCCTGCATTACGAGGTCTCCTGGCCTGTTCAGCAGTGGCCCATCATTCTCCTTGCTCCCTTTTGCTGCTGATGTATCTGCAGGAACACTCCATTGCCTTTCCCATCCCTTGCAGGAACTCCAGCCAAGCTGTGGACTTACTAGCTCTGTCCTTGCATTCCTCCTCTGTTCCTCCCAGGGAACCTGTCCCAGCTTACACTTTCTGTATGTGGCTTTTAAAGTTTGAGCTCACTTAGGAGTTATCCATTCAGCCAAACTTGCCTCCTGCCTTACCTCCTTGGTTTTTTTGCCCACTGGCATGACTTGCTCCTATGCTTTAGAGAGGTTGTCTTTCAGTCTCAACCATTTCTTCTGAGTCCCTTGGCATTAAAGGTGATTCTCCCAAAAGCTACCACTTACCAATTTCCTGAACAAGCTGAGACTGCTGCTCTGAAATCCAAGATCTTTATTCATTTATTTGCCTTCCTCACTTTCCTCAGTATTGTAAATCCTTATGTCACCTCATAGTCACTCTGGCTAAGGCTGCCGTCAGCCTTCACGTCAGTAGCTATTTCTTCCTTAATTCATAACATGTCCAGCAGTGTGCCTTGTCTACTTAAAGGAGTGCTTGCAGAAAGAAGTCTTTGAAGGTCTCCAGATTGCCTGTGCCCTGCTGTTCTGCTTTTCCAGCAAATGTCTCAAAAGTTCCTCATGAAAACAGGCCCTGTAATTGTGAGGCTTCTTCTAGTTGTTTAAAGAAGGCTTTGTCCACCTTCTCTTCTTGACTGGGCAGTCTTTAGCATATGCACACCATGTTTACCCCTTGTTTGTCACCCCTGTGATTCTGATCCATGACCCTTCATCCTTGACTCCGTTAATCAGCATTATGTTGTGTTGTTGAAATAGGGGGAAAACAGTGCGCAATACTTTAATAAAGTGCTAGACACTTAGTAAATCGGTGAGAAAATATGTTTGCACACAAGAGGAGTATATCACCTTACTCCTCCTCCCTGTGTGACTTGGGACAAGCCATTTCCCCTCTCTTTTGCTTCCCCATGTCTCAGACTGTGCAGTTGCTGTGGTAGAGACTGTCCCCACACATCAGGTCAATGTGTCCCTTGCCCTACTGTAATAAAGGTAGCTGATGTGTGAGCACTGCTGCCTTCTAAAGATTGCAGGCATCATCTCATTAGTATTTCTGAATGTACCCTGCATCCTGTCTTCATGGGAACTGAGATTCGGTGATGCAGACAACCTCCCAGTCCACTTCCCAGGGGCAAATATGGATGGGAATGTTCCCATGCACCAAAGCAAAGTTGGAAGGAAGCCTGGTTGCTAAAAACAAGTGTATGTTCATACAGGATTCTCTCATTACCAGGAAAATAATGATTTGGGGCATGGATGTGGCAAATGTCATACTCTAATTTGCTCATTCAAGCATAAGGATTTTGAATTTCCCTGAGTTATATGAGTAAGCTGGTTAGGACAACTGGACAGGATGAAGGCAGAAGGAAATGTGAAAGAGTGCATGATGAAAACAAATATTTAAAGGACCTGTTCAAATTACTTATACATGTGGAAGGACAAAACATTTGCTGTATTTTTCAGACAGAAAGAATCTTTACATACTCTTGAGTAGCTGCCATAGGCTTTGTTCAGTGTCAACCAAGTTAAGTCAAACTTTATTTTCTTTTTGTAGTATTTAATAGAGACTCCTTCTTTGGGTTACAAAACATGGAGGTTCTCCGTGCACTGTGTGCTTTTCTCTGTGCCTTGCACACAGGAGTCCCTGTTTTTAGGCTCAAATATAGCTAAAAGGTACCTGCTGACAAGTTGGTTTAGGTTTCTGCTATGAGGACTGTGCTCCCTCTCTTGACTTAAGAAGTTTTAAGTGGTGTTTGGCACTGTGTTGCATATTGGCCATGGTGGTCAAGTTTATTTACCTCTTCTGCAACTTCAATTTGCAAGATCCATTCCTTGCTAATATCAGTAGTTATACCTTGTTTTGAACAAGGCTGGATTTACTTTGATTTCTAGATTAGTGCAGGTTACATTGAGCAGAACATTTATTGTATCTCATTGATTTTCCCTGTAATACTGTTGAAACACAAGGCACTGCTCTAATAATTTGTTTTCCCATTAAAATTCTGTATGCAGATATGGTCCTCTGGGATATCACTGTGTAACCAGATACTCCATGATCTAATCAGGTTCTGCAAGGAATATGTTATTGCTTCAACACTTAGCAGTAGTAAGCTTCATCAAAATGAAGTATTTATCTAGTATTTAAAGTAAAATGCAGTTCAAAGAGAGAAACATGAAAAGCAGGGGTGTACGAAGTTTTAAGGCATTTTTCAGATTAAACAAAGCAAAATCGAAACCAGAGTTAAGATGATTTGTCATGACTCCATTTATTGTTAAAGAAGAAAATGTTATAACTGTCACTTCAGTTTATAGGGTTTGTTCCAGTTCAGTTAAAATAGCATTGCCATCAGAAATGACTGACTAACAGGATTATATTAATGTGATACTTACTTGCTACAGCATGCGTGCTTTGAAAGTAATTTTAAGAAACACCCACAAACCCATCAGCAGCAGGCAAGATTTGTGCTCTGAACTCATTTTGATACTAGGATTTGGATCTCTGAAGGCCTAATGATACAGCCAATTTCAGAAGTACAAGTCCTGCTGACCTTGAAGGAGTTTTGCGAGCGGTGAGATGTAGGCTGAGGAGCAGACCTGCTTGCTGCAGTGAGTCTGACCAGACACATCCCCTCCAGCTGGCACAGTGGGAGTGTGGCTCGGCTTGCAGCCAGATAGTATTTATTTCACTGCCAGGTATTTGGAAGGCTAGTGGTAGACAAAGGTGATGAGCATCTCCTAGGGTCAGCTCATCTCTCCATAAAGCAAGACAAAGTCCCTTACAGAAGCATAATCATGTGTTTGCAGATGTCCTTACCCTTGTCAGCTGCTTTCAGGTAAATGTCTAATGCTGAGCAAAATTAGTTACTGTTTTTTTGGTTTGTGTTTGTTTCTTTGTTTGTTTGTTTTTAATGGATGTGCCTTGACAGAGAGCATTTTGCATAGCTAAGGGTCTTACATACTTGTATTCAACTTAATTAAATTGTGGAAAATGATAACTTTGTACATAGGCATGTTAAGTAGTATGCCTTGCTTTTGTCAAGAGCACACAGTGAAGTTTCTGTATTCTGTCAGTGGAATGGGATGCTACCCTTGCATCTATCTGTTGTACTGGGAAAGCAAAGAATTTTAGAGGTAAATTTAAGAAGGAAAATAGCATTCAGTAACCTTGTTGATGATCAGATAAGACTTGAAATAAAGATCGGAAAGCTTACAAGTCCTTGGAGTCCAGCGTAGAGCCACCAAGATGATTAAGGGAGTGGAGCATCTCCCTTATGAGGAAAGGCTGAGAGAGCTGGTTCCTTTAGCTTGGAGGAGACTGAGGGGAGACCTCATTAATGTTTATAAATGTGTAAAGGGTGAGTGTCATGAGAATGGAGCCAGGCTCTTCTCAGTGATGCCCAATGATAGGACAAGGAGCAATGGGTGTAAGCTGGAACACAGGAGGTTCCGCTTAAACTTGAGAAAAAACTACTTTACAGTGAGGGTGACAGAGCACTGGGACAGGCTGCCCAGGGAGGTTGTGGAGTCTCCTTCTCTGGAGACATTCAAGACCCGCCTGGATGCCTTCCTGTGTAATTTCGTTTAGTTTCCTGCTCCGGCAGGTGGATTGGACTAGATGATCTTTGGAGGTCCCTTCCAATCCCCAACATTCTGTGATTCTGTGAATTTTTCAGCTCTTATTTTAGCTGGTTATAAAGGTGTGTGTGGAATGTTGTTCATGTCGTTTGGTGTTTTCTTTGGTTCTGCAAACTAGATGGTGCACAGTGTGCAGGGCTGAACTCTCCTCATTGACTCTAGGGATTTATTATGTGCCTAGCTTTTCTGGAGTTGCACCAGGATTGCTTTGACATTCAGAGCCTGCTGACTTCAGTGAGCTTAAAGCCTTAAGTAAGAGGCAGAAGAAAGTGAGGGAATGCCAAGACAAGCAGTGAAACAGGCACTACATTTCCTTCAAGTTCCTGGGAGGTGCTTGTGGGGCAAATGCTGCCTGACAAATGTAGTGTATTGAGGAAAAGGGCAGGGGAGGAGTCCGTTGGTGAGTGTTGGGTACAGGTCAGAAAATCATGTTTATTAAGAATCACTAATGACTTTTAATATATGAATACAATATTGATCATTTTCCTTTGTTGTGTTTTTAGGGTCTCATGACTCATTTAGTTTCTACATCGATGAAGCCTCTCCCGTTGGGCCTGAACAGCCAGAAACGGTCCAGAATTTTGTGTCTGTTTTTGGGACTGTGGCTAAAAAGCTGATGAGGAAGTGGTTGGCTACACAGACCATGAACTTCACCAGCCAGCTGGGGGCAGGTATACGGTACTTTGATCTTAGAATTTCCACCAAGCCCAGAGACCCAGACAATGAACTCTACTTTGCTCATGGTTTGTTCAGTGCCAAGGTCAAAGAGGGCCTGGAAGAGATCAATGCATTTCTCGCTGACCACCCAAAAGAAGTGGTCTTCTTGGACTTCAATCACTTCTATGGGATGCAGAAATACCATCATGAAAAGCTTGTCCAAATGCTCAAAGACACATATGGAAACAAAATGTGTCCTGCTATATTTGCCCATGAAGTCAGCCTCCAGTACCTGTGGGAAAAGGAACACCAAGTGCTAGTGTTCTACCATAGTCCAGTGGCTCTCGAAGTACCATTTCTTTGGCCAGGCCAGATGATGCCAGCTCCTTGGGCAAACACAACAGATCCAGAAAAACTGATTCAGTTCCTCCAGGCATCAATCACTGAAAGAAGAAAGAAGGGCTCCTTTTTTATATCTCAAGTAGTGCTGACACCAAAGGCTAGTACGGTGGTGAAAGGGGTTGCTAGTGGTCTCAGAGAAACAATCACAGAAAGGTAAGTTTCTGGCAGGTAATGTGTGCTGACTACTGAATTTCTGTGTTGGTAATGCTACTTTTCTAATTCCTTTTAAAGAAACTTCAACAGATGTGTTTCTTCCATGCTACTGTGGGCTAGTCTGAATTTGGGCATAATCCTAAAATATTTTAAGAGAAACCCATTGAAAGAGAAGCTTTTGTATCTTGAAAGAAAATCTGGCACTAAAACCTAGTAAGATCTTACGAGATTGGCTTAGCCTTTTTTCTTTTTTCTTTTCTGAATGCAGGTTTTTCCATTCATTTTGTTTTTCAAAAGTGGTTTCTTACTATCAGCACTGGACACCTTGCCTTGGATTTCTTTACTGGATGTGGAAAAATCTGTCTGAATTATCTAGATAATTTAAGGGGTTTTTTTATGCATCAGGCTTCAGGTATTGGGTAAATAATTTTTTCATTTTTGGCTCATCAGCAAAGCCTGACACTGCAGAATTTCCATCCTTAACTACCTTTACACACCTTAAAGAAGTGTGGATTTTCTCTCTGCATATTGTTGCACATTATATAAAAGATATCAGGACACCATTAGAGCGAATTTGCCTCCTAACAGGCCTCATTTATCATACAGGAAAGAGACTGCAGACCATTGTAGAGACTGTGTACATGGAATACTGTGTTGACAGGCCATTTGTTGTTGCATTACAAAAAAAGCCATCTGTGCAAAACATGCATTATTTATACCATTCTGACTTTGATAAATCACAGCCAATTTTCAGCTTAAAGGCATGTATGTGTGACTGTGTTCTTGACAGCTTGGTAGGAACCTGAAATTTAATGCCAAGACACAAGAACTATTTTTTTTCCCCTTAAAAAAAAGAAGGGTTGCAGAGTACAAAAAAAAAAGTATAATGGGGATCAGTGGCTTGCTAATATTCTGCACTCTGCATGGATGTGCCTGTGCCAGGAAGGTCTGTTGGGAACACTGTCCCCTTCTATGAGATGAATGGCACAGTGCCTGGGACTACAACCTGCAAAGAAAACATGCCTCATTTCTGAGAAAGATTAAGCCATTTTTATGGCAGCTTTCCTAAGTGACTGTTAACGTTAAAAAACAGGGAAAATCTTTACCTGAAATTGTAAAACACTGACACAGAAGGTTTTACAAACAGTGGAATATGATTCAGAAGAGCTTGTGTGACTGCACTTGCAGCTGTTTGTTTATCCTCCACCTATGCTTTTATAGGCTCCATTGGACTGGGGATCTCCCTTTCTGGTGAGTCTGAAGAGCACTTCTCTGTACTCAAATCCAATGTTGTTGATGGATTTTACTATTGAACAGTGACTTTGTTCAGGAATTTGTTTTCCCTGATAAACATCTTTCTGAGTGTTCTTCAGAACATGAAGTAGCACAATCAAGAAACTACTAGGTTCTCCTTAAAGCTTGCTGCATCAATAAAATAGCCATTAAAAACCCTTTTCTTCTTCTCTGGCTCATAATGTGCTTCCTTGCAGCTGTTTCAAAAAATAAAAAGTTCAGATGAATTCTGGATATGCTTGGCTGAGCTATGAATGACTTGAGCCTTTGAACTCTTAGTATGCCTTTCTCTACAGCAGATTTTGAGATTGCAATTAACTTGAAATTTCAGTAAATAATTGGACTGGTATACCTGGAAATGTTGTTTTTTCAAATTGCAGCTGGGATTTTCACCTGAGCCACAAGTGTACAATCATCTCTGCTGCATGAATACTTTTTCCTTCTTTGCATAACTCTTTTAACCTTTGCAAAAGCAATGGACCTTTAAAATTATCTCCAAAGCTGGTGTTTGGTCTTCCAGTGTGGCATCTCATTTGAAATCGTACTATTTATTAAAAAAATACACTGCAGGAAGGCACAGGCTTGAAGTGTGTGTTAATGTACATAGGAACTGAACTCAAATACTGAGCTAACTGCTCTGAAAGTAAACATCAAGTATACTCTGAACTGCTTCTCAGTTGATGATGATCCTGTTAAAAAATAAATAGACAAGGAATTAAAGGATGCAGCAGAATTAGTAGAATTTTCAGAATTCTCTTCAATTATGCTGTATTAATGTTTAAGAACTTCAAACTGTGTAATCCATACTAAAGAAGCCGGGGCATATGTTCTGGCTGCACTGTTTGCTGCTTTGAATCATCTCATGATTATTTGTAAAAAGATTATTCTGTCCTTTTCAGAATGAATACACAGATCAGATCCCATTATTGTGTCAAGGCAGATAACATATGTGCTTTTGTTGCCAGTTACTGCATAGATTTATACATTTTATACTATTTTCTGTTTATTAATAAATAAGGTGAAGAGTTTTGCATTAAGAATGTAGTTTCTTGCTTTTGGCAGCAGTTTTGTGACCATACTTAGGTAGAGTTCTTCCCTCACATTGAATTTCGAAAGATCTGAATGCAAATGTGGAATAAGGTTGAATTTTTCAAATAATTCTGGTGTGTTTTTTCCCCCTAAATTAAATACTACATTTAAGAAATGTTCCTTTGGCATTTTCAAATAAAACCCTTAGTTGTCTCTTTTTTTTCCCCTCATCTGTACAATGACCATTTTCATTTACATATTGACTTAATTTTGAAAGTAGAGCAAGCTTAGATCCTTTTGTATCCAACAAAACATAGCAGGTTTTGATCTCTGAAGTTGTTTGTTGCTCAGGAGATTATTTACGATTTGAAGAGTAGTGGCCACCTGAGAGGGAGAACATGGTTTCTCTCAGTTGCAGCATCTGTCAGACCAGGAAAACTGCAAGCAGACACTGCAGCAATCCAGGCTTCTTTCTGCTGCTTTGTAGCTCACGTTGTGAAAGAGCACGGTGAAATATTCCTCCGTAGCCTGCACAAGTTGGTTGGTGTAATAGCTCTTCATTGTGGCTGCTTTGTGGTGGTGGAGGTCCACATGTTCAAACTGCAGTAGAGCTGTCTCCTAAGGTGGTTCATTTCAGAAGGAAAAGTGATGTTATTTCTCAAGCTGTTCCTCACAGCACAGATATGCAAGATGAGAGGCCTGCAGTAGCCTTGATTGAAAAAAAAACCTGTTTAATGCTTCCAAGACTGAATTCAGCAGAAGATATACCAGGACTGTTTTTTACTGATAATGCTTGCTGACAGGCTTTGCTGCTGTCATCACACTTAATACTCTGTGAGACAATAATTTGAAAGAAGGAGAAATTATAAAGTCATCAAGCTTTCTATCGTGCACAAATACAAGAGGGAAAAGCCATTTATCATAAGCTTTTCCTAGGACCACAGCACAAGGTTACAAATCTTCATAACACGGCTTTCATCTTCATTACTTGAATGAGGAAAACTGCTCGCATGCATCCACGTTATGTTTCTTGGATTTGATGAAAAACTTCTTGAGGACTAACAGTATGTTTTCAGGATTAACATTCTGTCAAGCACAGTTTAGATGCCAAGAAATACTCTTTGATTAGCAAACAGTACGTACCAAATGAATTACGTTCTCTCTGCTTATTGAATCAACTTCACAGTGAGGCAGCTGCCTTCAGTGCATCTGAAAGGCAGTTGTAAAACAACCTCTTGATGAGTGTAGACTGTTCTTCATAATAATCCAATTTGTTTTCTGATTTACAGTGAAATTACTAATTTTATCTCTGACACTGCAGAGACAACCATGATATTCTCTTTGTTGTCTCTGAAGCTGAATAATGTAGAATAATAGATCTCCTTCAGAGGATGCAAAAATTCTGTGGTACTTTTAAAGCTTTTGAGAAATAGAAAATAAACACATAGCCAGAGGACTGACACTTGATTTCCGAATTAATCTCTAAGAATAATGTTCCCTGTAGCTCACATGTGACTGAATCCTTGACCACCATGCTGAATCTTCCCCCTTAGCAGCCACAGCTAAAGAAAAGAAAAGAAAAGAAAAGAAAAGAAAAGAAAAGAAAAGAAAAGAAAAGAAAAGAAAAGAAAAGAGAAAAGAAAAGAAAAGAAAAAAAGAACCCTGTACATGAGAACGAACCTTTGAAGTGGAGGAAAAGCAGCCACACTATTTACAGAAGGGTTGGTGAGTGGGCCACAGAAGCTGTCAGGAGAAAAGTAATCTCTGAGTGCAGTCATGAACTAAGCAGGGCCAGATTTATCTAGCAGATAGGTGGATATTATGTGAAAAATAATCCCTGGAGTTGCAAGAAGTGAGATTTTTGAGTCAGTTACTGAGGGTGCACTCTTTCTCCAAGCTGTATCTCAGCCAGCTGAATTTTTGAAGTGTTTTTATGTTGCTGGCAGAGTCGGATTTGATGATGTTTTTGATCCATGCTTGGTACTGACTGATGCCATACTTAAACTACATTATGTGAAAAAGAAAAGCAACAACAGAAATTACAACTGTATTTTGTTAATTGTCTGGGCATCCTTCCTGCTTGTAACCTTGATGTCCTCTATGGGCTGCAGGAGGGCAGCAGGCTCCAATGAGCTAGAATCATAGAATCATAAAATGTATTGGGTTGGAAGAGACCTTCAAAGGTCATCTAGCTAACCCCTCTGCAGTGAGCAGGGACATCTTTACTAGAGCAGGTTGCTCAGGGCCCCATCAAGCCTGACCTTTAATATCTCCAGGGACAGGGCCTCCACTACTTCTCTGGGCAGCCTGTTCCAATGGTCCACTACCCTCATATTGAAAAACTTTTTCCTAATATCCAACCTAAATCTACCCTTTTCTAGTTGTGGTGGATTGGCTTCACCCTTTTAGTTTGCAGCCAAACACAGCCTGCTCTCTCACTCTCCTCACCCCCCACCCAACACAGGGAGTAGGGGAGAGAATTGGAAGGA